TTTCAAAATCAAAAAATCACAAACCTTTTGGATGTGTTGGAAATTCTTTTAAACTACCACACAATCGGTTCAACTAGAGTAATGCTGGATCGCATGTCAATCCCCGAGTTTTGCTACGCATATACCAAATAAATAAATAAAAAGAGGATTTTGGCATTTGATCTGAATCGAATCAGTGACCGGGTCAAGGATCTATCGGTCTAACCGCAAATCCATATCGAATCTTAAAATTTTGGACAGTGAGAGATTGCTTATATAGTTTTGAAAATTGTTTTATATTTTTATAACAATCTTTTTGTTTTTAAGTGTTGGTCTTTCTATAATTGGTTAAGCTACTGTCACATTTTATGTCTACTCGTATGAATTTGGTTAATACAGCTTGTTATGGTATGAGTCTGAGGTTATATATCAATCACATCCAAATAGATGTACTAAGCTGACCTGGTAGATCTAACCAGATAAAGGCATTTAAGGAAATGTCACCTAATCTAAGCGTTATTTGACCTCTTGATGTAAATCTTCATAACGGAAAATAACCGAAGAGTAACCGGTCAGATTAACTCTACAATTAGTTAGAAGTTTCATCGCCCAAACCAAGAGATTTTGATGAAAACGACGTCGTGTCCGCCATTTTCATTCTTCATCCATGAAGCAATAGCTTCTTCACTTGAGATCTCTTCTTCTGGCACTGTCCCGGCGAGCTCTGTCTTTCTCTTCCTCCTAGGGTTTCCGATTTCTAGAGGTCGAATCTCCACCGTTGATCCGCTCGAGGAGGAGTAAAATTCGATTTTCTTTACCAATTGTGTGGGTTTGGAGTCTCTAAAGCTCTGGTTATTCCTTTATGGATCCAGTAGATATGTTGGTTTCGCAGCCAATTACGCCTGGTCAGGTACGGGTTTCGCATGATCGAGATCTTCGGTGTTTCAAGTTCGATTCACTTCTTAATTCACCATTCTTGATTTGGATTGGATCATTGTATAGCTGAAATATCTGAAATGTGATTTAGATCAAAGTTTTGCTGTTTAAGGTAGGCTAAAATTAGAATACTCCCTGGGACTATGATAGTCGTTTATTTACGAAGATTGTATCGTCTTCAATCTTAAATCACTAGTAAGCTTTTAACCTCAGCTTTCCTTCAGTTAGAAGCAACTTACCTTTTCTTTTAGTTCGGTATTGAATCTTGCAGTTGAATTTGTTGTGGAGATTCACATTTTCTATTGGCATGAAAGAAGAGAAGTTTCGTCTTTTGTTTGATTCATTCGTTTTTTTCTTTCTAATGCAGGTTTCGTTTCTGCTCGGGGTCATCCCTCTTATGATAGCATGGCTATACTCTGAATTTCTAGAGTATAGGAGGTCCTCATTTCACACTAAAGTGTATGTGTCTGGATGATGCTTTTTATTGATATCTAGCTTATGTGTTTTTGACTTATTTGTGACCTACTGTTTTGTGGTTTCTTTATCCCTGTTTGCAGTCATTCAGATAAGAATTTGGTTGAACTGGAAATGATGACGAACAAAGATGATGAAGGAACTGTTTTAATGGAAGGAGGTCTTCCAAGATCTGCCTCTTCAAAGCTTTATAGCTCATCAATCAAAACAAACTTGATTAGGTTGTTATAGCTTTTTTTTTTCTTTTTGTAAGGTCGAGGGTTCTCTAGTCACAATACGTTGTTAACCTTATGTATTGTGTTTACTTGTAGGTTTCTGACTTTGGAAGACTCTTTCTTGCTTGAAAATCGAGCAACCTTGAGAGCAATGTAGGTTCCTTACTTCCTTAATTTCAGCAATAATAGATTCATAGCGATCGCGCTCCCTAATGACCATTCAACTTCTATTTTCAGGGCTGAGTTTGGAGCAATTCTTTTATATTTTTATATTTGTGATCGAACTAGCTTGCTCGGGGAGTCTAAAAAGGTGCGTCCATCAAACTTCTTCGACGCGTTTCCTTATCAATTTCAGTGGGTCGTCAAATATTCGAAAAAACTATTAAGCTATGCTTGTGAAATATAGTTCATTAGAGCCGAATGTTTTTATGTGTAGAATGATAAGTCAGTGTTAGCAAACTTGTTTTGTAATTGACCATCCGTCTTTTTGATGTGGATTCCATTGGCAGAACTACAACCGAGACCTTTTCCTCTTTCTCTACTGTCTTCTCATCATAGTGTCAGCGATGACGTCCTTGAAGAAACACACTGACAAGTCACCAATAACAGGAAAATCCATTCTGTATCTCAATCGTCACCAGACTGAAGAATGGAAGGGGTGGATGCAGGTACTGTACTCAAACTTTGCTCTGTAGTTTTAATTCCTTGTCATTTCTCCCCTTTCTTCCTTGCATTCACTTGTTCCTCATAATAATTATCTTCATCTCCTGTTGCTCTGTATCTATATCTTAGTGTCTTTTTTTTTTCATTTGGCATTCACCAAGATATTCTTATTGATTTTCATTCTATTTCATGCCTTTGGGTCTTTGCAGGTTCTATTTCTGATGTATCATTATTTTGCTGCGGCAGAGATTTACAATGCAATCAGGGTTTTCATCGCTGCCTATGTGTGGATGACTGGATTTGGGAACTTCTCTTATTACTATGTCCGAAAGGATTTCTCCCTTGCACGTTTCACTCAGGTCATATTAATTGTTCTGGATCACCATAATTGTCCGTTTACCATGTCACATGTGCTTTTTGAAAGCACATATTTCTTTCAAGGCTCAAGATTTTCAAGAAATTTCTATTTTATACAGATGATGTGGCGGCTTAACTTTTTTGTGGCATTTTGTTGCATTATTCTCAACAATGACTACATGCTATACTACATCTGTCCAATGCACACTCTATTCACTCTGATGGTCTATGGAGCCCTTGGTATTTTCAGCCGGTATAACGAAATAGCATCAGTGATGGCTTTGAAATTTGCTTCATGCTTTCTCGTGGTTATCCTTCTGTGGGAGATTCCTGGAGTTTTTGAGATCTTCTGGAGTCCCCTGGCATTCTTATTGGGTCAGTAACAAACTTCTCTCACTTTCCATACCGCTTTTGTCATATGGTTGATCTTTATTAGTTCTGTTTTGTGGTAAATGTTTTGGATGCTATGTTTAATTGGTACCCGAGGACCAAGGTTTCGTATATTGACTAACTTTGATTCTCTGTCCTTGAAACACATACAGGGTACTCAGATCCAGCTAAACCAGAGCTTACACGTCTACACGAATGGCATTTCAGATCTGGACTTGATCGCTACATATGGATCGTTGGCATGATATATGCATATTTCCATCCCACTGTAATTCTAGAACCTCGGTGCTTTCAGTTTTCCATGTCTTTTCCCAAGAGATGCAACTAAATCTATTTGCAATCTCAGGTAGAGAGATGGATGGAGAAATTGGAGGAGTGTGATGCGAAGAGAAGAATGTCAATCAAGACGAGCGTCATAGGAATTTCTTCATTGGTGAGTTCTTGGCTTCGATTGCGCTTCTGGTTTCATATATAGTCTTCTCAACGATTATTCTGATGTTCGAGTCATGGGTCTTAAATGGTCAGGTTGGTTACCTTTGGTACGAATACATCTACAAGCTGGACAAAGTTACATACAACAAATACCATCCCTACACATCATGGATTCCAATAACGTCAGTACCACCATTTTTTTCTCTCTTTGTAATTTCTTCTTGTCTTCATTTTCATGGTTCATGCTAAATCTTGAGATAATATCCTTTCTGGATTTACGATCTTTGGCTTTAAAATTTGGAATGCAGTGTCTACATATGTCTGCGAAATTCCACACAACAGCTACGGAGTTTCTCCCTAACACTCTTTGCGTATGATTCTCAATCTTTAATTCCTTATTGTTTAGCTTGTTGATCACTGTGAACTCAGCTTTTGGTTCATGATCTCTCTAGGTGGCTCGGCAAGATAACTCTCGAGACCTACATTTCTCAGTTTCACATCTGGTTAAGGTTAGTTGGATCTAGAAATCCAAGCCATTTCATCTCGAGAATTATAACAATGTAAGTTTTGACACAATTTCACATGCGGTGCAGATCAAGTGTGCCAAATGGGCAGCCAAAGTTGCTATTAGCAATCATCCATGAGTACCCAATGCTCAACTTCATGCTCACCACAGCCATCTACGTCTTGGTAAAAAAGCAAATGAATGCTCAGTATAACAGTCTTTTACCCTTTTACTGTTTATAACTTTTTTTCCTTGTTGGCTTCTGTTTCCTTCTTCAGGTATCTGTTCGACTTTTCGAGCTTACCAATACATTAAAATCAGTTTTCATACCAACAAAGGACGACAAACGGCTACTCCACAACGTCATTGCTATGGCTGCTATCTCAATTTGTTTATATATTATCGGTCTTATTCTTCTCCAGATCCCACATTAACCATGTAAGTCCCTGAACCCTACTCCCACATTTGCGCCATTATCAGAGCAGATTATAATGATTCTCAACAAATGTTACCGTTACAGGGGCTTTCACAAACCTAAGAAACACAAAGTTAAAGTTGCAAAGAGACAAAGGCCGTTACTAGCAAACACGTATAAACACTATATACTCCTTCAGCTTCACAATAAAGGATTTGCTTCGACAAAAGGTGGCCATTCGATACATTGAGAATAAGTATCAAGCTCTGCAAAATGGAAGAAGTCCCAGGAAATTGGCTAAGTGAGGATTTTTATACCATCATCCATCATCCATCATCTTAGAAGTTTAACTTGTTCGATTTTGTTTTGTTCTCTCTTCTCTGTTTGTGATTTTTGGCACAAGTTCTAGACATATGTTTCATTTGTTTACTTCTTTGTAGAAGTAACATTTGCAATTGAGTGAACATGATATTCAATTTCAGGTTTACTTTTTTGATCATATATATACAACGACATATTTTTACCATCTTGTTTTAGATTTTCAAGTATTCAGACCGAGCTTAAAGATGCAAATTTAAATTTTCATGTCTAAATTACCTTGTCGAAATGAGATCTCCAAACAAAAAATAATCTCCACACCACATTTACAAAAAATAGTTTGAGAAATTTAGCTGATAAAGCTGATTTTTTAAAACTAAAAATGTTTTAACTTTGCTTATTGAATTCTATACATTTTTTATATACAAATACGCTATTAATAAAAAAACATACAAAATTTATTTACGTTATTAAATTATTTATACAAAAACTGGTTGGTCATTATTTACGTTTGTGCCACTGAACTGTCCACTTGTTCAATATTTTGGCTATAAATGAGTCATTATTCCGGTTATTGAAAACGTGGATATTGAATTGCAAAATAAAAAAAAAAAAAAAACAAAATTGGAAAAAATCCAAAAATATCGAGAAACCCTAAAACCCTCACGCTCTCACTCTCCTGCAGTTTCACTAGAAAGCCGACAGAGAGAGACGAAGTCGAAGAAGAAAAGGCAAAAAATGAGCAACCATTGCTTAGAACTCTCTTCCAATTGTTCTTCCATTTTCGCTTCTTCCAAATCAAACCCTCGTTTCTCCTCTTCTACCTTCTTCTCTCTCTCCTCCATCAATTACAAACCAAAATCGAGACT